CAGATCTAGCTCAGCATTCAAACACCCACCTTACCCTTCAGTCAAAAGAAGCTCTCCAAATCGCCATAATCCCCACCTTTCCCTATTACCTTTCATCCACCTGCTTCAGTCCATTGAACTTTCCTGCCTGTGCCTGAAGCATTCGAGCACGTGACTCCGGGTAAAAACATCCTGCCTTCTTGAGGGCAAATCCATGCCGGGGTCTTCTCTGTGCCCCTGGTACCTAGCCGGGAGATGGCAAAGATCAGGAGCTCCAGAAATAAGTGGGGAAGGAAGAGTGAAGGGACAACGCAGGAAGCCCTGGGATTCAGAGCGCACAGGCTGGAGCCGCTCCTGGGAAGTGTGGACAGAAGTTGGGAAACAGAGGAGTGCCACTTCCAGCCCAGTGCTCCAGAATTAGACCATCTGCTCTTTTTCCTTTTTTTTAACTTTTTAAATGTTTATTTTATTTATTTTGAGAGAGAGAGAGAGAGAGAGAGAGCGCAAACAAGGGAGGGCCAGAGAGAGAGGGAGAGAGAGTGAATCCCAAGCAGTCTCCGTGCTCAGTGCAGAGCCTGACGCGGGGCTTGAACTCATGAACCTTGAGATCGTGACCTGAGCTGAAATCAATTTCAGATGCTTAACTGGCTTAGCCACCCAGGCACCCCCGGACTATCTGTTTTTGTTTTAAGTTTATTCATTTATTTAGAGAGAGAGAAATAGAGCAGGGGAGGGGCAGAGAGGGAGCGAGACAGAGAATCCCAAGCAGGCTCTAAGCTGTCAGCACAGAGCCTGACGGGAGGCTGGAACTCAGGAACCGTGAGATCATGACCTGAGCCCAAACCAAGAATGGGACGCCCAACAGACTGAGCCACCCAGGCGTCCCCCCTCCTCTTTTTTTAAAGTGTCAGACTATCTGGGTTTGCACCCTAGCTCACCCCTCTCTAGCTGTGTGACTAAAGCTCTGTGCTGTGGTTCGGAGGTCTGTAAAATAGGGGTGATTTTACCTACCTTAATGTGTCTTAGATGTAAAGCTCATGACAGTGATATAGCAAGCACGCTGAATATTAGTTTATTATGATTCGGCATTTATTAGGGGCCTACCGTGTGCCCGGAACCAGAGGGCACCAAGATCATTTGCACGGGGGCTTCCTCCGGTGTAGGGCCTTGCCCAGGAGGAAGTCACACTCCAAAGCTTCTCCACATCCACAGGACCCAATTTTTTGGCAGGGGCTGGACCACTTATAGCTCTTGAACAAGGTTTGAGAAGAAGGAGGCTTGAGGGAAGTTCCAGGTCCTCAGGGCTACCCTCTGCCTCCCTAGTTTGCAGTGGCCTCGAGGTGGGGCTCGAGGCTGGCCGAAGGGTTTCTGGTGCAATCTCTGTGCCCTCAGCCTGGCTACCAAGAGTGGCTGAAGATCTCCTGGGACTGCGAGGTCCTTGGAGTCCCGTCTACTGGGTCCGAGGTGCCTTTGTCCCCTGGTAGACAGCACCACCTGCTGGGTGTGTGTTTGTGTCTGTACTGTGTGTGAGGTGTGGCGTGGGTGAGGTGTCAGGGGCCATACGGTTGGAGGTGATGTGGGGGGTGTGAAGTGTCGCATGATGTCCAGGAGTTGCCAGTAAGGTAGATGTGTGGAGGATACGTAGCTCCCGAGGCGCACGATGCTGTCGGTGGGTGTGTTGGTGTGAAAAAACAAAAATCTTCTTCCAATGCAGAAACCCCCCACCCAGGTGATAGAGACAGAAAACAGACTTTATTACTGGAAGCATTAAACCAGAATGGTATATACATTACACGTGTTAACCTTAAGAATAAAACCGTTGGGGCGCCCGGGGGGCTCCGTCGGGTGAGCACCCGACTTCGGCTCAGGTCATGATCTCACAGCTCGTGAGTTCGAGCCCCACATCAGGCTCTGTGCCGACAGCTTGGAGCCTGGAGCCTGCTTTGGATTCTGTGCCTCCGTCTCTCTCTGCCCCAACCCACTCACAGTCTGTCTCTGTCTCTCTCAAAAATAAATAAA